AGAGCATCTGCTGGAGGCTTCGAAGGGTGTGACTAATGATACGGACAAGGAGTATAAGCGGTGTGTTCTTGACTTGCATCTCAATATGCTTGGCCTTGAACAATCACAGATTGATGCGCAGATGCCTCCAATTCTTGAAGGAGAAAGGTTTAATTGCAGAGAGCAATAAATTCTTCACCAGTACACCCAATAAACTGGCTCCTTTATGTATTTGTGCCTGGATTATGCACGAGTGAGCACAGCTCACCACTACTTAGTGAGACATACACTAATATACTTGTAGATGTGATGAGCGCAATTTTGACGGCACTATGAAGCCGCCTACACAAGCTCGTGACAGTTACAATCATGCTCAGAAGATGAGAGCTGCTATGATTTACGCATTTGGACGCTTGTGTGGTCTCGGCTCTCTTCCGTGGCACGAAAGCGAAGTTAGTGGTCGAATGGTTGGTAATCCGTCTGTGTCTGAGACGGTCGGAACATATAAGACCAGCCTTCGACGCCGTAAGGTATCCTTTTTCTTTGTTTCCATGGTTCCAGCATGGCTGATTCTTCTTCAGGTTCGCGCAGGATAAACTGCAACTAGTGCGCGAGCTATAAGCCAGGTAATTGATGGTCACGCCGGAATCCTCAAGTTATTAATGGTGTTTTTCTATTATGTAGGAAACACTCCGCACACTCTACGACTTCAATAATCGACCAGATATTGGAACAGTAAAGGAATACTCTGCTGGTTCTCGAGGTGGTGTTAAGAGTGAACACGATTGGGGGGGTGCATGCGCCCGAAGATTGCTTACCTTGGCATATGTGCTATCGTTCCTCTGCCTGCTTAGATTTGATGAAGTGCTCAAGATACAAATGCATGACATCGAGTGGGTTTCTGATACATGCATCAAACTATCATTGCCATTCAGGAAAACGAATCAATTTGGGGGTGAGTTTCATTTCCAAATCATAATTCTCTGTATTTATCCGTGATGCCAGGCGTGAAACCATTCTATCTCTATTTACTCCCACCTCACCTTGCCCATCTTTGTCCCATCCGTGCCCTCGCAGAATGGCTAATGGTCTCTGGAATAACCGATGGTTACTTGTTTCGCAAGATGGCATCAGGTGATCGTGTTTCTCCACAAAACTCCCATATGGTGTGTTTGCTTGCCTCTTCAATTCAAACTCGTAAACTGACTCAAATTTTGTTTCTTTGGGTCTAGACTAGCGATTCTTTCCTTGAAATGTTCCGGCAAAATCTTCTGGACGTCAAAATTGACCCTTACCCTTATGGTACACACTCCTTCCGTCGGGGTGGGTGCCAATGGTTGTACACATGTTGCCGCTGGGGTCTTGTCCGGATTTGTGATTGGGGTGGGTGGAGTACAGAGTTCAGCAACCTCACAATTGTGAAGTACCTCATTTCCTATGTTGATGATCCTTCGGAGCGGCGTGAGGATTACATGAATCCTAATCGCGCACCATCGTTGAAATGCTACACTTGTGGGAGATCTTGTCATTGTATATAGTTTTGTTGCAATCCATTTATGTCTGCTGCCATTGCAGAGAAACTGCTCAGGAACGGCTCACTGCAGAGCAAATGTTGCCAAGATTGTTAGGCACGAAATCTAAAAAGAATCAAATATTACTGAGAACTGGGCTACAAACCAGACCTACCATACAAAATTGTTTTGCAACATTCTGGATCATAAAAATGGCCAACTGTAGAACCAATTTTGTCGAGATTGTTAGGCATCAAATCTGAACAGAATCCATACTCAAATATTACTGACAACTGAGATACGAACCAGAACTACCCTGCAAAATTGTTTGCAACATTCTGGACCATAAGAATGGCCGACTGCAGAACCAATTTTGCTGAGATTGTTAGGCATCAAATCTGAACGGAATCCACACTCAAATATTACTGACAACTGTGGTACGAACCAGAGCTATCCTGCAAAATTGTTTACAACATCCTGGACCATGAATTAGATCTTGTTGTATTTAGAATGCTTAGCTTAACATTTTGTAGCCGTATCTTATGTTTGCGTTCCAAATTGATGTGGTATGTTGAATAAGTTTGAACGGATGTAAAATGCGGGGGGTCCCATGAGGAATTCAGATAATTGTGTACATTTGATTCACAGGAGTCGGTGGAATAAGTGGGCATTATCATTTGGCACTCGAAGGTATTCATTGGAATCACTGATTTTGTAACATGAAAACTATTCCAAGTTGCTTTCATGTTCAAGTAAGCCAGGTTGTTGGAAGGGTAGAACCAGTTGAATTGGGAAGTTTTCGAACATATCTAATACTAATCTTCTTCGTCGACATCCTCCTCCGCGTCAAGACCTTTCAACTTGCGGTAATAAGCCGCAATCATCGCCGGCTTTGTCATGACAAAGTGTTGTCCTCCTTTACGATAGGTTAACTGCTCTGCTGTTAGTTCTCGCCGGGCCACCTCAGCCAGCTTTTCGTTTTCTACTTTCCGCTCTTTGCTCAACTGTGCAAGGAGTGGGGTGTATTTCATGCGCTGCATTGCACCACCTTTATCGTTCACCGAGTAGCACTTCCAGAAATCCTCTAGTGAGGTTTTCAACATGGCACCAACAAGAATCTGAATGCAATAGAGTCAGAGTAAGTATGTAATGACAAAAAAACACAGACCTTCCAATCGAACCAACTTTTCTTGACGCCCTTCCATTGAGTTCCTTTCCAGTACTTGTAGACAGTGGGCCAGTAGGTAAGAGGAATAGGAACGCCGTTGATCTGGAGGGGCGATGTTTTATTCCAGTCCGATATATTGTCGTCCCAAACCAGTAACAGATTTTCAATAGACTTGGCGTAGCTGACAGCGGGTGGATCCGGAATATCGCACTCACGGAAAGTAAGCAGTTTCCCGCCAGCCATTTTGAGTGTGCGGGTGGGAGATTCATTGCTGGTATCGTGCGGTTCACCCATCGAAACGTCAACCATTGACGGTGATGTGGATGGCGATGTGGATGGCATCGCATCGACTGCTGGAGGGCTACAAATACATCAGATATCTCGACGGAAACTAGTTTGGACAGGAACGAACATAGAAGGCGCAGAATACTCGGATTGCTCTTGAACAGTATTTGGGACAATGGAAGCTGAGGACGAAGCAGCAGTGGATATATTACCAGCAGCTGCGGCGCCGCTAGAATGTTGTGGTTGCTGTAAGAGAGCCCAAAGTCCGGCGAGTACTTGCATTGGATCTGGGTTCTGCACGGTGGTCTGTTTGATAATTAATGTGGGCAATGGCACGAAGAAAGAAAGGGCTTACTGTATGAAGGTTGTCCACTGAGCCCTGTTGACGGATCGTGGATCGATTCACATCGTTCCGGGGTGGAGGCCGCATGCCGGCATTAGGTGGGCTGATATAGATTGACGGGTTGGTATCGGGTTCAGCATCAGCGAGCTGGATATTTTGCAACGATCCGTTGGGCCTTTTGCAAAGAAAATGGTCATTAAATACGGTTATGAATATAATTCAAGAGCCTACCCAAGGTAATATGGCAGCCTTCTCCTCCGGGGTGCGCAGGTCTTTGGAACGCTCAGTGACAGGAGCATTGAGGACACGTACACCAGCTGCCCCATTGAAGAGGGTCTCACGGCGAAGAGAAGAACCTTTGGGTTTTGTTTTCTTCTCTGACTTCCGAGTGCCCTTGCGCGCATTTGTAGCACCCGGAATGAGACTATGCATAGAAGAAATAGAGGAATTGAATTTTTTGAGTAAAGTTTCCAGCCGCTGTATAAACACTTACCTCTTCCAGAGGGATTTGTCTCTAGTTAGGCGGCTAGTGGGTGTTGTCTTGTTGCCCGAATGTGCTAGCTTGAAGGTCTTGCAATGCTCCGATAGTTCCGAATTAGTGAGTGATCCTCTTCGCGTATCAAATCAGACGAAGCAGCCCTGTCAAAATTTTGGGAGTTTCGACGTACAGACAAATGTATTGAATTGCGAAACCATTCGGGCCATACTCCCCAGGGATTGGGAGCTCGGGGCTGTTGTTTGAGGTGTCCTTTGGCATGACAGACCAGTGTCGGCAAGCCGAGACCACCACCAGGACACAGAGTTCGCAAAGAGGGAGGAGCACGAGGGGATGATGACCAGAGCAGCACCGGGGTCGATGTGAGACAACGACAGCGGCTTGCGGGTGACGCCGACGCCGCCCCCGATTGCATCGTCGATCGCCCCGAGCCTGCAAAAGGCGGACCTGTAAGCCGCGAATCAGTTCGCTTGGCTCGACGGTCCGATCAGCCGATATAACCGAAAACATCTCCGTCCCTAGCCGAAGGGACGGTCCCACGCGATCGGCGGGAGATCCCGCGTGACGGGACTGTTATATCCCAGAAAGAAGTCCTTTTCATGGTGAGGAAGAGATCTACCGTTGATCTACGAGGGCATGATGGGCTCAAGACAGTTGATGGGAAGTGGGATGTGAGTGGTGAGGAGAAGGGAGATGAATGGCAAGACCCGCAGTTTCGGAAAAGGCAAAAATGGAAGCTGAACCCACATTGCCTCTGTAATTTTATGGCAGCAAAAATTGATTCATAAAGAAAAGCCCGGTAGTGCATTTGTAAGGGATTCAGGATGGAAAAGGAAGGGGTGCGACCGGTGCGTAACCAAGAACACGGTGGGAGCCGAACCCACGACGCCTCCGTGATCCCATTATGCAGTCCAAATCAAGAGGATGGGATCTACGGTGGATCCACAAGGGCGTGATGGGCTAGTCGATGAGGTGGGTGATCCACCTCGGTGGGAAGAAGAGATTGACTGACAAAGTGAGCTTACTGACATGGAGGGATGAGATCGTATGAGGAAAAATTTGAACCCACATGACCTCCATAATGCCAAAACAGAAATGTAAGGAGGGATCTACCGTTGAGTTACGAGGGCATGATGGTGAGTCGGTATGCGTGCACCCTGAGATTGGAATTCAGGCGAGCCTGGAACAGAACAAAAGAAAGAGTTTGAGAATGCTGATTGCCCTCAGTGGGAGTCGAACCCACGATGCCTCCATACAGCTGGATGAAATCCTTTGCTGTTGAGGTAGAGATGTACCGTTGATCCACAAGGGCGTGATGAGCCAGTCAGTACGGTGGTGGTGATCTACCTTGGTGGGAAGAAGAGAACGAGCTTTGAGATGGGGGAATGGAGGGATGAGCTTGTGCCTTGTGAGAGGGAAAATGAGCGAGAATATAGGATGGGATGAGAAGAGAAGAAAAGGAGGAGGAGAGGAGGAGAGGAGCCGCAACAGAAAAATAAAAAGACAAAGCATAAAAAACAAAAATAAAAACGCTGGTATCATATCAATGCCCAGGATGGGAGTCGAACCCATGTTGCCTCCAAAAGCTTGTAGAAGAATTCACTACAGAAAAGAGGAGATGTACTCTACGAGGGCATGATGTGCAGTCTGTTGGGGTGATGGACTTGGATTGAAAATGAGACGCGCCTGGAAGAGAAAAAAAATGGACCCTGCGTACGGCTGTATGCCCTCGGTGGGAGTCGAACCCACGCATCAGGAAAAAGTCCCGGGGCCGTAGCTCACCGGTTAATTATATCATGCAAAATTGTTGGGGTAGCAGCAGGTGGAGATTATATAATCTTATACGGGTAGCTTTGTGATTATATACCTCTGGTAGTCAATATAGCTGCCTGCCACAGCAGTGCAGCTAACATAGTTCAGTGCAAAAGCAATGTAGGCCTTTTTGGTGCCTGTAAACTGGTCTGATTTCCCTCAAAAAGGGAATCATAAATGTGTGAATAAACGTTCCGAATTGAGGCTGCCTTGTGCAGAATGGCTTCTTTTCACGGTTTAGAATCGGACTTCCGGTTTCTTTTGGTCTCAAATGCCGACTCGTTGGCATTATGACGCAACTGGAATTCATCGTGGCATCGGGTATCTTATCGGGCCGCTGTCAATCGGGTGGCGGTGGTTAGTCTCTTATAAACAAACGCTACAACAATATGGGTGCTAGGCGGTGGTAGTATCCGATACGAAAGGCCACTCAAATAAATATTAGACCAATCTATCTCAAGTAAATGTATCTACAAGAATGTATGGATTAACATAGAACATAGCTGCAGTGTCCAGGGAATTAAATGAGGTAGTCTTCGGTCAATTTGAGTACCGCTCTTGGCCAGGACCCCCGATAATCCCTTTGGAGGCTAGGTCAAAAAATTCCCGGATCCACCCATTTTTGTCCGCGCTGAGTTTCAGCTTCCGGCGCTTGATTGTCCTCCACGGCGCGATTTTAGCGTGTTTTTAGACTTTTCTAGCATGAAGGCAGCATTTTCGTAAGTATCTGGGTCCAGAATAGGTTGTCGGACCAGGTTCTGGCCCACCAAGTCTGCCGAACTTGGTGATTTTTGTCCGCACCCTGACCTGGGCTTGGTGGCCCTCAAGGCTCGTTTTTGTCCGTTCCGGACCTAGGTTTCACACCCAAAATCCCAAAATTTTGTCCGCGCCCGGACTAAATGACAACTGGGGACGATGTGCTCCACGGAGATAACAGCGGCATTGCGGCGCTGGTGGCGGGTCCGGGGTAGACCTGTGAGTGGTGAACATGCCCGAGACTGGATCAGGCCTGCCATTGAGGGCGTGAACCATTCTATATAAGCGAGAGGGTGGGGATACGAGCCAAATTGCAGAGGAAGCTTGAAGATCACACGAATCTGTGGCGGACGGAGGCCTGTAACATCTTCAGTTAATAATGGATCGAATGCAGGAAGCTTGTCCCACCAGCAAAACTAGATGACTGAACATAGTGGGCAGGATCCTCTATCACTAAAGCCATGTCAAAAATTGCGGGCGATCCGGCTGAAGGGCCTTTCGGCTGAACAGCACATCAGTAAAACTACACGTTCATCTTTAGCATCTTTTGTCTTCAGATGGTGTCTTTGAAGGTCTTTGTCTTGTGAACAGGTGGTCTTTGATGGTCTTGGTCTTGTGGTTGCGAAATGTTGCAGTCATTCAAACTCCGTTGATGCGATCGCACGCACTGCGGAATGGCGTGATTTGATGGCATCGTCTCATCGCTCTTCCTCTCCCCTCATCTCGCGCGCCCCCGCCGAACCCTCCCTGCCTCCAACCTCTCTCAGTGCACATACCATCAAGTCCCCTACCCTGCCTTGGCCTTGAACTCTCCGATCCAAGACTCCCTAGTTTCGTCTTTGTCCCGCATTTTGCCTTTCCCCGTTCCCTCCGTTCAAATGTGTGCCTCTTGAAACGAAATGTGTGCCTTCCCTCTTCGGCCTATGTCTCTCTCCCCTTCAAGTTTCAAGATTTGGTGTTCCTTCCCATCCTGGTCCGCGTGAATCCTTGTCTCAAAACCCTGTCTCTCGTCGTTGTCAAGGCTGGTCTTTAACTTGATATCAATCAATCCTCGCAACGACCAGCCTATGTTTTACAAGCTCATGCACCCGGGCTTCGCTCTGCTCAATCAGATACCGAAGCGTTTACGAAAGTCGCCTCAAGTCGCTGGAGGAGTTCAAGGAACACAGAGAAATACAAGCTCCTTGACCGCATCCTCTTGCGCATCAATGCCGGATGGTATGTATTTTATCCCCTTGCTTTTCAGGATCTGACTGTGCCATTTCTCGTAGCCATCACTCGGGGGCGCAGCCCATTGCCGCCGTTACCACCTCGACTCTCAGCAAGGAGGTCCTCGACACGGCTCTCAGGGAGTATGAGGAGGATAAGCCCGAGAGCGATGGCGACGAGGATGGTGAATTTTCTGATGTTGATATGCAGGAGTAGTGGTTTCGCATCAATATATTTCATTCTTCTGCTTCTTTTTGGGATTGCAATGAGAGAAAAGTACGAACTGGAGTCCTACAAAGTAATATGTGGACAACATGACGATAGGGATACGAAGTTATATACACCCCGTGTGCCGCTATATTATCGTACATAGCATGTGATAGTTATGTATAACATCTGACATAGCGTCTGATAGTTTTGGCTGAGAGCTACAGCCTGCTATATAATGGGGGGTAAACGACAGCCCTGTGGGCGATCGTTACTACATTACACACCATCGTCAGTAAGATTTTTCCTGATGCGTCACCGCCACAATGGAGATATTCAGATGCAAATTGTAAGGAGGAAATCTACCACTGATCTGCGAGGGCGTGATGGGCTTTATATTTACTGTTGTCAGGTGGACGTAGGTAAGTACATGTGGATTGGGATAAGGAAGCAGAAAGAAAGGGATGCAGGACAAAGGGGCTGTTTGCCGCTATTACATCCGCACGCCAACACCTTCTGATCCGGGCCGAGTCCAATCAATCCGCTCTCATCGCTGCCACCAGGACCCCTGATAATAGGTGTGAAGGCCTGATTTTTTTTGAGGCAAAATGTCAGGACCGATTTCAGAAAATTTGTCAGGATTGCAACAGGCCTAAATTTTTTTTCCGCCGAATGTCAGGATAGGTACAACAGGCCTAAATTTGTGCAAAAATGTCAGGATTTCCCCAACAGGCCTGAAAATCGCTCGAGAATGTCAGGATTTCGCTTAAAATGCCTCAAAAAAGCTTGCCAGAGGCGCTATTGAGACTGGCCGGGGTGCACAGAGCTACTACTCCTGTAATTAAGAGTCCTCATCTATGTCTTCATCGTCATCGGGCTCAGTGGCCTTTTTACGAGACCGTGATTTCTTAACCGCGTCATTGAGGCACTTGATCTGCAAGCTCAGATCCTTGAATAGCCCGGCATCGTCAACGGTGAGTTCCAGCCCTACTGGGGTTACAGTCGGCTTGCTCGTGAGCCGGCAAAGGAAGGTGAATGGTGGGAGCAGTCGGAATTGGTAGGTCTGTAGAATCGAAGCGGCCTGAGGTATTGTGCGGAACTGACGAGCAAAAACCAGCTCGAAGACTTGGACCCCAATGTGCGAGAATGCACTGATGTTGTGGTGCTCAGAAACTGCGCCATGCTTGCCATTCTTGCCGCCCCCTTTGGAATACAGGGCTTCGACTACAAGAAGTGTAAGACCAGTGCAACCAAAAAACAAAGACTGACAGAGTCTCACCTTTTCCGACACGTAGTCCGCTCTCCGTCCAAATGATCCCAAAATCTCCAATGGCCAGTTTTTTAAAGTTGTTCATGCCCGCATTTTCTACCACCGTCAAGTACTGGGCAGCAAGCTTTGCATCCTTGAACAATTTCTTACGCCGTGTTGCCACCTGTGATGTACTATTAGCCTTGCAAAGCATTAACTCGAATGAAAACTCACCTTCGTCGCGAGCGTGGTGGCCGCAAGAGCAGCATTGGCAGAATTTCCCACGGTAGGCTTGGTGTCCGTATGCCAACGGGCCTCACGTTCGACTGCTGTTCCCACTCCTCGACCCTGATCCTCCTTCAAAATCTCGTGGAACTTCCGAAGGATTTGGCGTCGTGTGGATTCCTCGGCAGCCACTGAAGAGTCGTCCTCGGAACTTGCATGCTTGACTCGGGCGCAGTTGGCTGCCTGTCGCGTCTGGTGTTCTTTCCGTAGACGGACAAGGGCCTTGAAGTCCAGGTTTTCAAATGATGTGATCGGACCGCGACCGAACGGTTTCGAGACTTCGGAAGGGAGCTGAACGGGAGGTAGTGGTGTTGTGATCGAGGCCAGTGTCTCTTGAAGTGTAATATACCCATCACCAACGATTTCTTCGGCCAGTTCATCGTCGGGCTCATGTAACTTTTGCCTGTAGAGGAGAGCATGTCAATGGTGATGTATGAATTGAGATATGTATATCTTACACTCGCATGTGCTCATCCACCGTCACAGCAATGCTCGCGCAGGTCAACGACATAATTTCGCGGTCCTGCCGAGCACTGCGCATACGCGCATCGGGGCGCTCCTCTGCATCAATGAGAGCCTGTAGTTCTTCGGCCTCCGAAATCACCAGGAGGTCAACATTGTCAAACTCTTCATCTTCATTCTCCGTCTCGGGCTCTGGCCCTTCATCTGGAAGCCACGAACCGATACCGGGAAGCACGGCAGGGACATGCTCGTACAATTGTCCCGGGGTAATTCCCAGAAGTGCGATGAGGGACTCGCATTCGGCAGCTGCCTCCTCAGATGCCCGTACCATC